TTCTTCCACTGAGGAGAAGGGAGGCTCTGTTCCTGTTTCCTGAGGAATGTGTTTAACAGATCATTTGAACTGTTGTCTTGTTTCCGTCTCCGTCTGATGTATTCATGACATTGTTCTCCACACTTCTGCTGCTCATGTAGCGGCGTCAGCGAAACATTTTCTACATTTTTCTTCCAGTCGAGTACAGGCCGTTTATTCTCGAGTAAAGCCGAGCGCTACGATGTAAAATGTACAGAAGAGCTTGAAGCTTCATTCATGCCATACATGTTCTTAACGTACAAGTTCTTAATTCATATTTGAACGCTTTGTTATGCCTTTTCATTGTGTTTAACTCCGTTCGTCATAATCACTTGCTTCCAAAAACCTTTTTAGGATTATGACGTCGGCTAACTTGACGACAGACATTTAAAGCTTCATTCAAAAATCAGAATGGGAGCATCAAATATAAAAAAATCTCTGGGATAACATCGTTTTCTTTGTGTGAAATTGCTAAAGGAAACATAGTTTTAACACTGAGGTTGTCTTGCACAGATCATACATGGGTAGTAAATGAAAAGCACATTTGTTTTGGAGCATATTCATAGCTTATTTAGTTTTGATAAATAACCAGTGGTGCCAGGATTCAGAGGTGAAAAGCTGAACTCAAGAGGAGAACGAATATCTGTTTTATAATCTAAAACACAAATGATATCGAGCCCAGAGAGAGTTGTGTAGTGTGAAATTGGCAAACAGTGTTGTGTGAAGTGAGCGTGAAACCTGCGTCCATTCATCTGTGAGCAGGAGAGACTGAACAGCTGTTAAAGAGTCTGAACTAAAAACCTCTGTTCCAGGCTGCGGGAGCTTCCAGGTTGTGACAAGTCTTTTAAAAGTATGTGTTTTTTTTATAAATGTTTACATGGACTGCCCCCCCCCCCCCCATCCCTTAGGGGAATTCATCCACAAAAAACACACTGGACGCTGCACCAGGTCGGAAACCAGAGGAGACTGTGAAGTCCACCGTAGACGGACCACTTTTGGACAAAATGTACTCTCCATCAAAAGCAGCTCGTTGTGGAATAGCCTCCCAACTGAGATACGGGATTGTCCCACTCTCAATAGCTTCAAAGGTCAACTCAAAGAATGGATGAGAAACAAAACAGACGTGCAATCACCGCTATGCTATGTTTGTAAAATGTAATTTTCTTAAAGGTGGGGTAGGTAAGTTTGAGAAACCGGCTCGAGATACACTTTTTGTTATATTCCATGGAATGCTCTTAACATCCCGATAGCAATGAATATTTTAAGTGCTTTGACAAAAAATCGATTAAAAAATGTCATCTGTGGAAGCCGTGGCGCTGTAAAAAGCACGACCAATCATCTGAGCCGGCCCGGCTAAAATAACTGGATGGCCTACCTGCCTGTCAGCCTTCCATCGGTGCACAAACTTATCTCGTGCCCTCATTGGTCATGTGCGCGTTCGTGTGTGTTGGAGGAGGGGCTCTGTAAGGAAGTGGCTGATTTTTTCCGGCTGTGTATTTTCAAATTCTTGCGATCTCAAACTGGTTTCTCCAAAATTACCTACCCCACCTTTAAATGTTTTATGTGAGGGACTGCAGATGGAAATTAGCTCAAAGCTAAATCTGGCACTGTTACCCTTGATACATTTTAATGTTTTAAGTGTTCATCACCGTGCATTGTCCCTGCCAAATAAACGATTAAATGAAATAAATGAATCTGTTTAACTTGGTGAGTATAAATTGAAGCTACATCATATTTTATTCAGCGAGGGCCTTTTAAATGGAGGCAAGAATAAACTCTCATAAGTTTGACCAGCCCTCTCACTGCTGCGGTGTTATTTTCTCACGGTGCATCCCTCTTCTCCGTCACTTCATATCTCCTGACACCCCATCAACCATCACCCCTATACATACTCTCACCTATCTTCCTCTCCTCCTGCCTGACCCACTGTCCCCGCAGCTGCTAAAGAATACTACGTTTGACTTAATATATGGAATGTTTTCATCATCGAGTCTTCAGTTAGTGGAATACTGTAATCTACAAACTGGAGGGTTCCCTCATTTAGGGTACACGGTTAAAAATCACTTAAAAAGATAGAAACCTGTCTTTTATTAAAGTATGTTGGACCGTAGTAATGACTGCTATATCCATTCCTTGCACAATGAATGTATATATAATATCCTGCTTTATATTATGTTACTGTAATTTGTATTTCCACATATATATTTTTTAATGCTATTTAATTTCTATTTGAGATGTTAACATTTTGGATCGTTTATTTCTAGTCTTTTAATTTCTCTTATGTACAATGCCTTGTCTCTTTATGCTACTGATACGCAAACATTACCCAAATTGGGATCATTTAAGTGCTTCTTATCTTATCTATAACTTAAATTGTCACGAATAACAAGAAAAAACCTGGACACAAAAAGGTTGAAGGCACGGAGATTGAGACAGGGAGGTAGAGGTGCTGCAGCATTAGGCAGTATGATAGGTATAATGTGTTTTATGAACATTTATGTGTGTAAACAGCGGGTACTAGACCCTTAGAAAATCGAAATATGAACCTGAAAATTAGCTCACCTTTAGAGTAAAGTTAAAACCTAAAAACCCTAAAGTTTAGGCAAAGTTATCTCTAACACTTTAGCTGAGTTAACTACACAGTGAAGGGCAAATGTATATATTAGTACATGAGACTCCCCAGTCACGTCCGATCTGCCAACACTCTCACGTCATTCAAAAATGCCCTCAAAACTCACCTTTTGCCTCAACTCATTATCTTATAACCCACATGTGTCAAACTCAAGGCCCGGGGGCCAAATCAGGCCCGTGGTGGATTTAATTTCGGCCCACAGGATAATTTTTCATTACTATTAGATCTGGCCCGCCGGTATATTGCACGCACACCTTCACTCAATCCTGAGGGTCTCCTCAGCTCAGAGCCTGACCCCAAACATTGATGAACTTGCACCCAAGATGAGATGCCAAGTATCTGGCTTGAACTAGCATCACAGAGCAGCACACTGAGTTTCAATGGATGTTTCCTTCTGCACTTTCTTTCTTGAGACAACAGGGCATGTTTGGTTTTCTCTTTGAGGGGAATAGTTTTTTTGAAGCTGTTGTTGGCCTGTGGAGAAATGTAATCATAAGAAATGACTCTGGAAAAGCTGCAGATAGAGCCGTAAGAAATGAATGCAACTGATTATTTAATGTTTCATGTTGTTTTTATAGGCAATAATTTAAGCTTTGTTAGTTCCAGGTTGAATATGTGCAATAAGTTCATTTCAATAAGTTTTGCAATAAACATTGAACCAGTCCGGCCCTCGACTAGTACCCATTTTTTTATTTTGGCTCACTGTGTATTTGAGTTTGACACCCCTGTAACCCCTCGCCCCTACTCCACCAGGCTTAGCACTTTTTTACTTTTGTTGATATGTTTCTTTATTTGCTTGTAAAACGCTTTGAGCACCAGGAAAAGCTCTATATCATGAACATGTAATATTAAAGAAGGGTTGTGTCTAGATGTTCCAGTGTACATTTGGGAGTTTTAGGCATCAGTTCATACCTGCAAAATACTGTATTCGTACATGAGACAAAGAAGGTATGTGTCTAGAGATTCCAGTGTACATCAATTTGGAGTTGTATACATATGAGCTTACCTGCAGGTCTCTGAAGGGGTGCAGCAGGAGACCCAGAGGGAGGCGCGCCTTGTTGAGCAGAGCCTGAGTCTGAGGGATGCTGGACAGGGTGCTCCTGAACGTACTGGTGAACGACGAGAGAACATGTTTTAGATTGCACGCTCGCACGCATGTATGCAAATGTATTTCTTACTTTATTCTTTCTTATAATTTTCAAATGATGATTTGTTAACTTTTGAGGGTTAGGGTTAATTACTCCGAATTGTATAGAAATCACAATATGGACTAGCACAATATCCAAATTGCTTTCAGGACAGTATTCTGGAGGCAAGATATGTGAAAATATCTGAATAAAGTATTGTGGAGCTGCAGAAAAGTCTTGGCCTACAAATGGTATTCGACTGACCAAAACATTTAGCAATTATAACTTTGGCCATATTGTGCTGCCCTAGTTATAGTTATCACTCACTTTTACATCTTTCTATATTTATTATAAGATCCCACTAGCTTCAATGGTAGAATATGTGGAATCAAATGTTGACTTTTTAGAATAAAACACTGTTGTTGTCTTTTCAGGAAGAACAACACATTCATCCCAGTTAGTTAAACCTGCTTCACTGACACTTGCACTAATGTACTGTCAAAGATATTGAAGTGACTGTTATTTTGAATATATTGATGATTGTTGTGCTTTTATTTAGGTCTTAATGTGTGCACAAGGAGGCGTGTGGCGCAGTGGACTAGTGCGTTGGTGTTGGGATCAAGGGAGCACAGGTTCAAACCCCACTGCAGTCAGCATGTCGTTGTGTCCCTGAGACACTTCACCCCACATTGCTCCTGTGGGGATTGTCCACAGTATTGAGTATTTAAGTCACTTTGGGTAAAAGCGTCTAACAAGTGACATGTAATGTAATGCATATGTATAAATGTGTCTTTTGATTGTGTATATATATATATATATATATATTTGCATATATATTTTTATATATATTCATTTTGTATTCGGGATTGTGGGAAACGGTATTTCGATCTCTCTGTCTGTACACACGAACTGAAAGATTGACAATAAAGTTGACTTTGACTTCACTGTACTCACTGTGGGTTACAGTTGACCTTCTTGAGGTCGGCGCTGAGGTTGGGCTCGGGGGCCTCGAGGGGTCGGGGGGGCAGCAGGCTGGTCTCCTGCATCAGGTTCACAGGACTCAGGGCCTCCAGCTCCAGCTCCGGGACCCCGCTGAGCCCCCCGAGAGCCGCTGACAGCTGGGTCATGTTAGGGAACGGCTGCAGGGGGGGGGGGGGGGGGGGGGGGGGGACAGAAATACAGTTTAACTTGAGACAAAGTTACTGTACAAACTTCATCAAATCAACTTGAAAAATGTCTGTGCTTTAATGCTGCAGCAGTTTTAATATGTATATGTTAATGCTGCATATATAAGGGTTCTGATTTTACAATTGTAATTAAGTGCGTTTTATATTTATAATCATGGCATTCTATACATGTTTCTATGCTCATTCAATGTCGTATTTTCCTTGATGTAACTATGTATATTTTAGGGCTGTCAGTCGAGTAAAATAGTTAATCGCAAATTAATCGCAAATGTTTTATCTGTTCTAAATGTACCTTAGAGGAATATTTGTCAAGTTTTTAATACTCGTATCAACATATGAGTGGACAAATATGTTTTATGCAAACGTTTGTTTATTATCATTGGAACAATGACAAATATTCTCCAGAATATTCTCAACACAACAACCTGGAACCTCTCTCTCTCTCTCTCTCTCTCACACTCTCCCAACCCCGTCTACTTCTCTGCACTGAGCCAGTTGCTCAAACTCCTCTGTCTTCATCTTCAGTCAAAGCATGAGACGTTCCCACGGTGGGTCAAAATAATGCGCTGTGAGGTGCAGTCGACATGTTGGATGCGATCCGAATTATCTCACGCAGCCCCTCGTCCTCCACAATGTTAAGCTGCAGCCACCCATTTAGCTATCGCTGTTAAAAGCTTGCTGCTCATAGACGCCGTGTCCAGGCGTCTCCCCGACAAACTTTCAAGCGTGGTCTGCCGCAAGCGAGCGGCAGGAGCGGGGCTGTCAGCATCAGCTGTGGGCTTGGCTTGCTGTTTAAAACATATTTTTTTGTATCCATATCTCTCGCTAGAATCTCCCACCATCCAACTAACAACAACAACAACAAGCCTTTGGGCTCTGAAACTACGGGGCGGGCCGAGGACAAATACACATGCGTTAATCGCACGTTAAAATAATTAGTGGCGTTAATTTTTTTTTAAAGTTATTAACACGTTAACTTTACGCGTTAAGTTAACGCGTTAACGTTAACTTGACAGCCCTAGCATATTTATAATAATATTACAGGACGTTGCAAAGGGGCTGCAACCAAGCTAAAGTTTATGTTTTCTCGGCTTGTTTCTTATATCTTAAAATCTGTTATCTTCTTAAAATATAGTTAATAAAGTAAAAGAGAGGTGTATTGAAAAAATGGGCTAAAAACTAGATAAAAAGTCAATTTATGTCAGCTACTGGCAGGTAACCAAAATGCTGATTTATGCTTTAAAAGGTTACTTTGATTAAAATGATAAACTACATCTCTCGTTAACATTAATGAACAACAACTAAATATATATATCATATATCTAGCTGTTTTAGGGGGAATAAGTCACATAATATACCTTTAAACAAAACTTAGGATGTGCTTGCAAATCAAAAATATAGCTTTTTTACTTTGATAATAGTAAATAATCTCATGAACAATAACACACACTCTCAGCACCTTCTTTATTAAAGCTGTGATCTCACCTGGGAGTACTGCTGGTATTCTGGCTGTCCGTACGGGTCAAGAGAGGGGGCGGAGTCAGTGGCGGGGGCTGGCCCCTGCTGATAGGCCGGCTGCATGTTTTGGTAACCATAGTGATCGTAGGGCGCAACCTGATTGGTCATATCGTTGGAGGGCGGCATGGAATCTGAGCAGGAGAGAGTTCAGCGTTAAAGAGAAACTGATGCATGTTTTAAACTGATTAAAACAGGGCATTTTGGAAATATAACGTGTGTGTGTGTGTGTGTGTGTGTGTGTGTGTGTATATGAGTGTGTGTGTGTGTGTAACATTTTTATCACAGGCTTTTACAGAAATGGAGAAAAATCACATTTTCTTCTATAATTTATTGTATAATTGTTTATTTTCTACTTTTTTTTTTATTTCTAATTATGTGTAATACTTTATTGTACATGCTGCCGCAACAAAAACATTTCCCATTTTGGGATTAATTGGGAAATTAAAGTATATCTTATCTTATTTATCTTATTTTTCAGCGCAGAATAAAATCCCCTTCCCTATCTCTTCTTGCAAAAGTTGCTCCAACATGGTTTCATTATTAAGCTGAAAAATACGTGTTCATTTGGCAACATATAATACGTTTGTTTGGTGCACATTCTTTATTTTTTCAACACGTTCCCGCCCCATTTCTGTCAACGTATTAACTTCTACACTTTGTCTCCAATAAAACTTGAATAAACCTACCTGACGTCATGGCAGCGTTACCTACAGTTGGAGATCACTTACCCTCAAGAAGAACAGGAACTTAAAGGGGCCCAATTATGCTTTTGGGGTTTCCCTTTCCCGTAGTGTGTTGTAAAGGTTTTTGTGCATAACACTGTATATCATCTTAAAGTGAAATCACCTGGTAAGAAGTTTTGTAATGTGATATATCAGTGAGTATGGCTTGTATTTAGATGAACAGTGATCAATACAAACCTGGATAGCTGCCACCTTCCAGGGAATCATAGCTGTTGGGCACCGGAGAGGCACTGCCTGTACTGGAGGAGGAAGTGTCTCCACCTGAGAGAGGCAGACAGATAACACATTCAAATAAAACCGCCAAGACTGGCCGAGAGGAGTGGAGGAGTAAATGATTACATTAATACAGTTAAAGAAGGACCCATGGGGATTGCACAACAGAACAAAGTACAATTGAAGAAGTAAAACACAAGAAGAGATAACAGGGAATGTCTGTGAGAATAAAAAGGACCACAACTGTAAATAAAGTCCATTAACACATACACAAAACGAGGGGCAAGAAATAATGAATGAGGAAGAGGGAAAGAACAAAAGAGGAATCATTAAAGGGAATGAAGTGGTTTTTTTCAGTTTGGCCATGGAGAGCTCTGTGTTTGGACTCCCCTCAGGCCTCAGAGAAATACAGAAAGAAAAAGACACAAAGATGCACTTAAGTCACTTAAGACCAGCGAGCGCACGAGCTTCTGAGGATAGAAACATGGAGTGAGCAGAGGAGAAATTACAAAGATAATGAGAGGCTACAGAACGGCGTTACTGCCAACTCTCTCTGTGTCTCTACAACTCTTTCATTCTGCACTCTCTGATACAGTCCTTCATTTAGACCCCATTTACACGCAAACGCAAAGAATACGATATCAAAAAAGTCTTCCGTTCACACGAGAACGCTTGAAAGCGCTGGAGACGCTGTAGTACATATGCCGGGCCTGTAAGTGGCGCTGTACTTTCGCCACAAAATACACCAAAAGCAGCGAAGAAGACCCCCGAGCATGGTTGCTATGGTTGCCCTTCTGTTTATTCTCCGCGGTGGATTTAGCAACATGTAGTTCATGTAATTCTCCATGTCCACTTGTTGCTGATGGTTGTGGTAGAGGAGCTGTAGATTTTGAACTAACATCTGTAGCATGGTCAGTAGCTACTGACAGTAGCTACTGACCATGCTACAGCAGTGAGCAGCAGAGGTGGGGAGAGGCGGGGCTATGGCTTCATCGTTATCAGGAGAATGATCGTATAGGACGTACACACGGAGCCGTTTGGCCCCCCAGAGCGTTCCGGTTGCAGATCTATCCACCTTGGGACCCGTTATCGTTTGCGGGGTCCGTTTCCACGTTTCCGTTACGGCCTCGTGTGAACGAACGGGCTATACGAAAGAGAAAAGTAGCGGATACAACCGTTTGCGTTCTCGTGTAAACAGCACCTTAAACTCTCTCCTTCTCTTTCACACACACACTTTTTTACCTCCTATGGTGTGTGAAACATGCACGACTTAATGATGGAGAAAAAGGACATCTAGCTGATGAACAGAATGCAGGTCTTATGATTAAACTAATAATACATTGACTTTGTTTAATGAGAAGGTACATGCATTTGCAAGGCCTTGAAGACACACCCAATGCATATTAGTACATCAAATAAAAGATAGTTTAAGACACGACACATAAATGGGCAAAGAAGCGATAAATTGTATCCTTTTCTAATTCCTCTACGATAGTTAACTAAATACCTTTGAGAGTTTGTCAAATAGGGCATTTCAGGATGTCTTCTTGGACTTTTAGAAACACATGTTTTCATTATTTTCTGACATTTTATAGAACAAATGCATCGAGTTGTTAGTTGCGGACATATTTAAATCTAAAGAAATTCAACAGGTCTTGTAGACGGGGCATCACGTTGGACAATGCAACCAAAAAAAAACCTCCTTTTGCTCTTTCCACACTCCCCGTCTGATTCTCATCTTCCCCTGATGAAATAAAAGACAAAACTATTCTTATTTTTAAAGTCTGATGGATACATTGCAGTATAATCTGTTGCAGCCACTCATGTTCTCCTAATAACGCGCTGAGGTTTTCCAGAAAGATTACAAGGGTAGAAAATCTGAATGAACTCATGAATCCATGCTGGCCAAGAGGAGGGATCAACAAGACACGACAGACCTCTGGCAGCGAGCTCATTGGACGGGAGGGGATCCAATTATCTGGGACTAAATCTGACCAGGAGATTATCTGCTCTGGAGAAGGAGAAAGCTTAGCCTTCCTCCTCCTCCTCTTCCTCCTTCTCGTAGATTGAACTGACACCTATTCTTCCTCCTCTCCTCTGTCAGCTCACAGTCTAACTAATAAAAGGGGTTATAGTAGTAAAACAATCTATTTATAGTAAGTGTTGCCTTGAAGCAGTTTTCCATTTCCCTATTCTTCTAATCCTCATCTGTTTTCTGTAGTATGTTTAGCTCACACTTGTTGCCACCTCTGGTTTCTGATCATTAAAGCTCCATTCATACTGTAGTGTCTCTTTTTCTAAATTGTTTACAACTGATCTGATTATCTACTATGAGTTTGGACGTGAGAAAAAGATGCATTTAGTCTCTTAATGTTCCTCAGGACAACATGTGTTAGTCATAACAACCTTGAGACCTCAGAAATCGGGAGGAGGGGGGGGGGGTGCTAGTGGGTCGCGTGCTGTTAGATTAACATTAACATGCTTATTGTAGTTCTAAGTGCAATGCCTTGCGGCCTGTAGCACCATATGTGTGGGCTGGAAAGGAGTGAGCAGAGGGTCGAGTTGTCGACTCTTGTTCTGTTTTCTTCTAGGGCTGTGCAATTAATCGTATTTTAATCTCGATTACGATTTTGGCTTGCAACGATTACGAAAACAATGTAATCGAAATTATTATTTTTATAAAAAAAAAGAAACTTTTTTTTTTTTTTTTTTTTTAAATTACATTTTTTATGGGTTTTTCAGTTTAATTATACTTAAAGTTCAGGTTAATCAACTGTTAAAAACATACTGTTTTTTCAATATATGGATGTTTTCAAAGTAAATGGATAATCGTTTTTAATAATCGTGATATCAATTATTGACCAAAATAATCGTGATTATGATTTTTGCCATAATCGCACAGCCCTACTATCTTCCTCACCATGCTGAACACCCTCTCAGACTTTCAGTTGCGCACGCTACTAAAGAGACGCACTACCATGGAAACCAAACAAAAAATCCGAGTGGAAACAGTCATGAGTAAATCTGATTTTGTCAGAAATCGGGAGAAATGCGGGAGAAATATAACCCCGGGAGGAAACCGGGAGAGGGCAATGAAACCGCGAAAATCGGGAGGGTTGGCAAGTATGGTTACAGTATGTTTGACAAGTGGCAGAGTGACATAGAAACAGACACGATATGAGAAGGAAAGTCCTTTGCATGTGACTGCTTTACAAAACAAATATTTGTAGGAGCGAAACTAGCACTCATTTGATAGATTCAGTTTTTCCAACTGTAAGGACCCCTCGGTTTTTCTATGTTTCATTTACTTAGATTAAACACTTAAATTAACTTAATTTTTACTTAAATAAACTTGTTTTTGTTTGCGTTTTGGACAGCTGGTAGATGTTGTGCTTTAAAGTGCTCATGGTGGTAAAAAAAACATCATATCATGGCGTCTAGAAATCATCAACTGGTGTTTTGTTTCAGCATAAAACCTAAGAGAGACCGTGGGGAATTGACGAGATCCCGAGGGGGGAATCTGAAAGCTGAAACAGGCGGGTCTTTTTTTACTAAGTGAGTAAATGACTGTGCAGTGAGTCTCTCATGGGGAACAGCGGAGTCAGAAAACAGGAGGTCAGAGAGCGGGGGCTATATTTAAGAACCTGTTAACCTCTGGATGATGACACAGATCCAGAGGGAGAGAGAGGAGCACCTGAGAGCTGCACACAGGAGCAAGAGACCACTGGAGCTCAGAGCAGTATTAAGAGGTCCACTGACTTTAAATAAAATACTTTCCTCCCCCACAGGAAACTGGAATTATGAGCTATGATAAAGAGCGGTTTAAAAATAGTCTGATTGATTGTGGGCATGCTAATGTAATTGTAACGTTATGTAATTTGAAGCAATGTTAATACAAAATACCGGTGTTACATAAAGAAAATGTAACTCATTGTTTACACATACTATTGATGCATTTCCTTTTAGACAAATAACGTAAATTATTTTACTGTAAATTGTATATTTGTTTTTCTCGTTTTCTTTTTAAAGTAAAATAATTGTTTTGTCAGTTTTGCTATCTCTGTTTTATTTCATTACTATTGTTTATTTGTATTGTCTTTTTTACTTAATATTTATTATCATTAGTACTATAGAATAGAATCGGAGGGATTAACCCCTCTGTAATGGTCTCACATGCAGAGCACACAGCACACACAGTGACGTGTTCTCTGCTTTTAACCCATCCTAGTACCATGAGTCTAGTACTAGGAGCAGTGGGCAGCTATTGTACAGCGCCCAGGGATCAATGGGAGTGAGGGGGGAAGGGGAGTGTCCGGTGCCTTGCTCAAGGGCACCACGGCAGGGCAGGAGGTGAACTGGGACCTCTCCATGTAGCAGTCGACACTCCATACTTTAGGTCTGTTCGGGGACTTGAACCGGCGACCCTACAGCTCACAGTCCAAGCCCCTACTGACTGAGCCACTGCCTATCTCTCCATGTATAGAGGTTTTTACCCAATTCATGTTTTATTTACCCGTCCTAAAATAGGCATTGAAACTTGAAAACTGAATTCTGATGCCCTTACAACACCAATGGACAAAACTAACTATTGTTTATTTTCCATTCATTATTTTGCCCTTCATTTAACGAGTGAAACGTTCTAATAAAATAAGTAATTAGTTTGTCAAATTTCCCAAAATAGAGAAAAATGCTTACTGAATGTTTCAAGAACCTAAACATTGCAGGTTTTTTCCAACAAAAAAAACAATATAAAATTGTTAATATATAGAAAAGGGAATACATCGTCCCATTTTAGAAGCTATAAACCAGTTTTTTTTTTCTACATTAAAAAGGTAGGGTAGGTAAGAATGGAGAAACCAGCTCGAGTGCGCTAGAATTTGAAAGTACGCAGCCGAAGAAAATCTGCCCCTTCCTTCAGACTTCCTTACAGAGCCCCTCCTCCAACACACACGAACGCGCACATGACCAATGAGGGCACGAGATAAGTTTGTGCACAGATGGAAGGCTGACAGGCAGGTAGGCCATCCAGTTATTTTAGCCGGGCCGGCTCAGATGATTGGTCGTACTTTTTACAGCGCCACGGCTTCCACAGATTAAATGTTTGTATGTATTTATTGTCAAAGCATTTAAGATATTCATTGCTATCGGGATGTTAAGAGCATTCCATGGAATATAACAAAAAGTGTTTCTGGAGTGAATTACCTACCCCACCTTTAAACTATGTATTACGGTTGTTGTTGATTAATTCCTTGCTTTAGCACGAAACACTTATTTTGAAAACACTTAAATGTGAGTCACAATTACACAACACCATCCAACACCAACTCATGTTTAAGGCCACCAGGTTCAGAACACAGCTCATTGATTTAGTTTTGCATCAGAAGCCACAGCGAGACGTCTGAGGGTGATCGGCTCGCAGGCGGATAATCACATCCAAAAACCACTGAGCGAGAGAGAGCACTGCGTGACAATAAGGGCAAGCAGAACCTGGCAGGAGCTTATTAAGATAAACCGAAATGCTAAACCACTTACCACTTACATTACTGAGAAAATGTTACATCAGTTACAGTGATGGAGCAACAGAGCAGGGTACACACATTAAAACAGAGGATTTGTAGTCAACACTGATGACTTTGAAAGGGAGACATGGTGAGCATTGGGAACAATCGAATCAGACAATTAGGAAAGGAGAGGGATGGATGATGAGCAGAAGTGACACACAAGAGGAGAGCAGCGATCAAAAGGTGACTTTACATGGGGAAGGTGATAGAATGGTTAAAATGGTAGTTTTTGAAACATAATACAAAACATCTAGGAGCACGGTGAGGATTATGGGGATGGAGAGAGTGCTAATGAATGGGTTGTGGGGGAGGTAAAAGCTAGAGCAGACCTGCTTCCTCATCCTCCTCCTCCTCCTCCTCCTCCTCATCATCATCATCCTCAGAGCTGGATGAAGAGGGGGCAGCGGCGGGGCCTGAGGTGGTGGCAGAGGCAGAGCTAGCTCCACTATTAGCAACATATCCATACTGCACGCCTGTGGGGAGGGGGGGTTGGGAGAGGTACATGAGAAAACTGTCAAGACTGCAGAGAGGGAGATGGAGATTAGGCAGTGAACTCAATGTGATGTGAAGTAAGAAGTAGTGAGGGACAGTTTCCTCCCACAGGCCATAAGACTGTGACACACCTGAACTTTTGAAAGGACATCCATAACATCTGTTTGCAACTTATATATATATATATCAATATTCCAATTACTTGTATGTAGACTATTCTGCACGATTTCTATTATATTCAATTTTATTTTATTTACTTGCACTATTATCTGTTGCACTGTTGGAGGAGCCTGTGACCTAAGATTTTCATCGTCATAAATACACTGTAGCTATGTACACATGATAATAAAAGCCTTGAATCTTGAATCCTTGAAACCTTGAAAGTGTGTCTATCAAGAGAAATTACCTTTAATACCAAATCTGGTTATATTTTGCTTTCATGGATAAAAAGTTCAAGACCCTTGAGAAAGATATTGAGAGTTTTCTGGCGATAACATAGGTTAAAACTGATTTCGCATCAAGCTAGGTTGCTTAACATTAAAAGGATAGTTCAATTGATTTTGAAATGTGAGGTACTTATCCCAGTAGATGGCAGTCTGCACACCCCCAATCTGGACAAACGGAGAGCAATGACAGCACAGAAGCTATCATCTATGTACTCTGCAAAGCCTCAGGACTTCTTCCACAAAAACAGAGTGGCAGTTATGAGACATTTTTGTCAAAGTAACATTTCTGATTTTGTCAAAGGAATTCTTTCAGTGGCTTCAGTTTCCTCACAGAAAGGACTCTCTGACAGCGAGGTAAGGCAGAGAGAATATTCTAAATGACATTAGCTATCTTACTTTTAAACTAATTTTGTTTTTGCCAAATTACGATTTGCTGCTGCCTCTGTCCAGAGCGCTGTTGCTTTACCACTGTACACCTGTCCGTTTCCCCAACTTGGAGCAAGCTGTCCATCATCTACTGTAAAACACTGAGTATGGATAAGTTCCTCATAATACCTCATTTCAAAACATCCAAACTATCCAGCAGTAACATTTCAGAGGCCACGTGAGAAGTTGTATCTCCACCAAACGTTTCTTTCCCCACAGCCTTGCTCATTTTAAAACATTACTGAAACCGACAAATTAATCACAATCACTGCATACAGTCTTATGTTAATGTTGTGTTTACCCAGCGAAGAAGAATCATACCATTAGATTAAACATGAATTAAGCACTTTAAAAAACGTGTCACAACAGTGCGTGCCTTTTAATACAAAGACGTGTGTCTGGTGTGTGTCCTATAATCCACTTGCTATTATATAACATGTCGCCTGAAGCCAATATCACTGGGACTGAAAAAACTGATTTAGCACACGTTTACCAGTGGTGGAAGATTATTTATTTAGCAATACTGGTTTGTATAAATACTCTGTTGCATGTCATGATCAAAATATACTCCGAAAATAGGGTTACTGGTGGAGAAAAGGTACACTATTGGTTCCCAAATTGGAAGTGGAATGAAAATACTCACTTAAAGTACAACCACTTCAAAATGTGAGTAAATGTACTTCATTAGACCCCACCACTGCATTTTACCAGCCTCAGAGAAAACACAATCTTGATAAATGTTGTTGTATTGATGCCATAAACACTTCTTCATTCATGCTGAGACGATGAAAAGCTTTAAGGTCTGGTTTTCCTTTAGCTTAGCTGACAGTGAAAAGATCCCAGGTCACAAACTGAATAAACAAGCAGCTGGCTGGTGCGCCACACACACACACACACACACACACACACACACACACACACACACACACACACACACACACACACACACACACACACACACACACACACACACACACACACACACACACACACACACACACACACACACACACACACACACACACACACACACCACACACACACACACAACACACACACACACACACACACACACACACCCACACAACACACACACACACACACACACACACACACACACACACAACACACACACACACACACACACACACACACACACCACACACACACCACACACACACACTCACACACACACACACACACACACACACACACACACACACACACACACACACACACACACACACACACACACACACACACATCACACACACACACACACACACACACACACACACACACACACACACACACACACACACACACACACACACACACACACACACACACACACACACACACACACACACACACACACACACACACACACACACACACACCCACACAGTTGCACCAGAAAAGACAAAAAGCAGGAGCCAAGAGATGTTTTTTTTTTCCTCCTATAATGACTTCATGTTCAGACACCAGAGTAAAGCAGGATAGAACAAGAGTTTTCACCTCAACACCAAAGAAAGGGCACCTTATGAAACCAATTCACTGCTATGAGGTTTTCTTGCAAGCAGTGAAACAAACAAAAACAGGAAATATGAAAAAATATGTTTTTCTTAAAGGGGACCTATCATGCAAAATGCACTTTTGTACGTCTTTTCTACATGAATATGTGTCCCCGGTGTTCCAGGGAACTCACCAAGTGTCAGAAAACACAACCCTCTCTATTTTCCTCCATACCCAAATCTCTAAAAAAAGGGGCTGCAACGGATCTGATAAAAACTGATCCAGATTTGAACACTGTCCTGACGTCAGGACGGTGGCGCTACGGCTATTGGGCCAACTCCACCAATCAGGAGGAGACAGCCACGGCCATTGCCGTTCGAAAGCGCTGGAGACGCTGTAGTACATATGCCAGGCCTGTAGGTGGTGCTGTTCTCACTGAATCAGCCCTTGCAAAAACAAAGCTATAAATTGTCAAATTGAGCAAAATGAGGCATGGCTAAAATGCATGATCTGTTTGGTATAAATATGCCTTTATATAGGTATGGTCCTACACTATATTATTCAAATATAGCATGATAGGTCCACTTTAAATTGTCACGACAGAGTCCTGTTAAGTGTTCAAATGAATTATTTCTAGATTTTGCTTGTCTTTTAATCTTTATTTGTTTACATATTTATTCTTTAGGTTTTAATATTTCATTGTATTTATTAATGTTGTATTATATCCTCTTTTATTGAACTAATAGGGTTATCGATCATGAACTTTTGGATCATTATTTATGTTATAGTACTTATTTAAATCGTATCTTTTGAGCTCCTTGTGTCCCTTGAATTGTTATATTATGCTTTTATGCTGCATGTAAAAAGGTTTTAACGTTTGAACTGAGAATTTGTTGTTTTCTGTCTCAATTTGTGACGTGTACCATGTTGTTATACAAATAAAGCTTTATTATTATAATTAAAAACAAGCCTTGAAAATGAATTATAGATTGTTTTAAGGTCCAAGGAAGGAAGGAAATGCCTTGAAGTTTCCCTGGCATTTCTGTCAACTTGGAATAGTTTTGTCTTTCTATATTCAAAGCTTCGATTGAACACATCTCCAACTCACATGCCGGAAAGTGAACTGAAAAACAGCAGTTTGTCAACTTTCAACATAACATTCATACAAACACACGAGGCCCTTTGCTTACATTCCTCAGTTTCAACATTCAACAACTTTATTTTACAAGCTGCTGTTAGTTGATCAGTTCCAGCTGCATTGAAGAGGGGTAACAATGCTGATTCATGTTTTTGAAGCACGTGTCATGTGTGTGTGAAAAATAAGGTAAATGGTTACCTTGGTGGTGGCCTGGTGAGGAATGCACTGAAGTCGGTTGAGTTCCTGAGGGCCGAGGGTCAGCGCCGCTGTGAACGACCCCGCTGTACGTGTCGTAGCTCAGAGACGCCTGGTGGCTCTGGTCATAGTGTTGGTGCACTGGGAAAGAAAACACAAAGACGATAAGGGAAAACACTTCATACCAAAGAATGGAGGTCTGCATGAACAAATATCTAAACTCAAAATAAACACTGACACTGAAGAAACACAAGAGCTACAAACAACATTAAACTAGACATAGTTGTCAATCAAATGACACAATAATTGACCCCATTTCAGCCATGCATTATTAATGTTAGTAGGACTTTTTTTTTAAGTGGACCCTTCTGTTCTGTAGCCAATATGAAAGCTATATATAGCTTCACACACAACTGGAAAGAAACTGTTGATTTCAAAATCACCCAAGAGTTGGCAGAAGGTATTTGACCCATAACAATACTTCCCCCAAATGACCATATGTATATCAATTACTCACTCATATAACCTTGTTTCCATGAAGAAAATGTAATTTTTACAGCAAGCCCCACAGAAAAACTGCCTGGGGTTGTGTGAAAGTTATTAACCGTTGCACCCATTGATTTAAATGTAATTATTTCTTTCCCATGCAAGTATGCACACAAAGAAATGTACGTTTTCACCATGAATTCAAGGTAACATGGATAACTGATATACCACTAATCATTTTGGGTGTACAATATTTTTTTTATAAGCGACACATGCAGCTGGAAAGAAGACACATGAAAATCACTAAACTACATGACCGATACCAATACTGCTTTTAAAGCCAGGTCCAATACAGCTAGTGTGCATGTTTCTGCAACACCAAATGTATATAGTGCTCTAGATTAAGACTACACTTTTAATGGATGTCTCTTTCCAGCCAGCATCTGATCTTTCAAGCGTAAACTATCCCTTCACACGTACCTGTGCTTCCTTGACCATTGACTGTCGGCCCCTGCTGATTAAGAGGAGCCACGCTGTACCCAGACTGCACTGCTGTTGTTGTGGCCGGCGGAGGGCTGTTGTACTGATGCAGCGGTGCACCCATGTGGGTCGGCATGACTCCAAGGCTGGAGGTGCTCTGGGAGGAACTCAGGGTGCCGTACTGGCTAATTCCAGGCGCAGACGGATAGGAAACAATTGGGTAGAGGGGAGCTCCAGGGGCGCCAGGCGGTGCAGGCACCAAACTGGGGTGCTGCTGCTGCTGAAAGGGCTGTGCTGCTGCTGGGGGAGCATGGTATGCCTGCTGTGTATAGTAGGATCCTGGAGTGGCATATGGAGGATGCTGCTGCTGCTGCTGCTGCTGCTGCTGGAATGATTGTTGGTTGTAGTGGGCATTTGATGGCGGCGGTGCTGAAGGTGGATATGGCTGAGAAGGAGGCGCAGAGTTCAGGGGAGCACTGTATGAGGAGGGTGCTACATGCTGCTGAGAGAGGTGCTGCTGTTGCTGCTGATGGTTGCTCTGGTAGTAGTTAGCACTGTGGGCACTGTTCATGAGGGGGGCTTTGTTGGGAGGGGTGGACTGGGCAGGGATGGTGGGGTAGCTCTGTTGTTGAGGTGGGGCTCCATAGCAGCCTGCAGGAGGATGCATGGATTGGTAAGTCTGTGCTGGACCTGGATAGAGAGAAAGTGCATTTACAAACAGAGTCAAACACATATTCTACTTCCACCAAAGCTCACAAATAGAGTACTGAACAGAGGGTATCTGCAAACAACCAGCCTCATCAGCAGCTGGTGCTTCAGCTGTAAGGGTTAATACCCGGTCAACTGAATATGCATCCCATCAATAACCACTACATTATATCAGTACACATCTAACCAACTCATATATTGTCAAACATGTCATATAAAGTGAGTATTGTATCGAGATGCTGCGCATTCTGTCACACCATTATAATCCTGCTTTGATAGCTATCGTTAGCTTAAAGCTAATGCTAGCCGCTAGCAATCTCTATGGGGATACAGGTTAAGTTAGCACCTCAATAGCTTAAGCTCATATTCATTTTCGCAGAGTTAGAATAATTATATACATGTCGCTTTTATTTTTAAATGTATGTAACTGGTTTAGGTAATGCCATGGGACAGTTATACAAAATAAAGAAATAAAGAAATAAAGAAACAGGGTGCTGACACACTAACTGACATCCCCCCCAGAGTGTTAGCATGCTAAGGCTAGCGAGCAGGCTAATCGCATCATCCCGGCCTCCGTTACCGTTCTGATGGGAAGGTGCCGATCCGCCGTTCAGCGTCGAATTCCGGCTGTAGTTGACGGTGTAACCCGGCGAAGACATCGCTCGGTCCTCCCGTCCTTATTCCCACAGGTCTGGGTAAATGCACATTAGCCTGTCTCCACTTCACCTCCCAGAAATGCTGCAGAGAGAGAGGTGTCTGCTGGTCAGTGAAGACCCGGGCAGCAGGCAGGTCCTCTCGGCTGAGAGCGAAGCTTCCAGTCGGGATGTTGAGGATCACTCTCCCGGCTCTCTGCTGGTCCTTCCTCTCCCTCTGCTGGATGTTCTTTGCAAGTGTGTGTATACTTCATTTTATGACAAGGATTTAAAGGTCCCCTATTATACTGTTTTTCATTACTTTATTATAGGTCTCAGATATACAAAACATGTCTCTGAAGTGTTTGGCCTCAAAATACCAAAAAGATCATTGCAGCATCCCATAACCCCCTCTGTTTCAGCCCTGTTTCAAAAGTGCTGATTCTCTGTCTGTTACTTTAGGGCCGGCGGTACCGAAGTGGGCCGGTCGAGAGTCCCGGGCTGATTTGTAGTCCCTGCTTTAGATGAAAATAAGGAGCCACTCCCCACGCCCTCTGAGATATTTGGTTAAAAATAACACATGGTGCTCTAGGAGGAGATTCAGGTGATAAGGGGGGGGGGTTATCTTGGTTGGTGATTGGCTAATGGTTAGATAAGCCAACAAATTGTTGACATCATAAAGTGGCCAAAATCTGATCAGCTCATATTCAGACAGGTTTTATATAAATGGATCAGGACAAAAAGTGAGTGAATTTTTTTTCCTGAAGCTTTCAGAATCTCTTTACACAGAGTGAGAGAGAGAGAGACTTTACACACTCTTTAGAAAAGACATGAACAAGTGGATTTTGCATAATAGGTGACCTTTAAATGCATTTATAGAAACATGTAAATATGATATTATCTTATCAATGTAATTTGCACATCCTGCACAAAACTGTTTATTTCTCAGTGTAATAGAGGGTTAGTGCGTGTGTTTTAATGTTTTAACTGTCATGTATCTTTTGAATATTGTATGTTTCTTGACTATTGCAGTATTTTTGTATTATTTTCTGTTACATATGAATATTTATTATAATATTTCAGCTGTTAGATTTCCTTTTTATGAGTTGTGTTTCATGTATTTCATTATATACATTAATTTATATTTTTCCTAGCTCCAAACCTGTTTCCTGGGCTTTTGCTATTTGTTATTTACCCTTAAGAAATGTCTCTTGTGTCAAATTGTACTTCAAAGCTTAATCTGTAATAGCACTACAACTACTAACAACTATGTTTTATTAATAACAGCGAGATTGTATGTGTGTCATTCATTTATGACAAGTATTAAATGCATTTAAAAAAATAAAAATAAAGTCTATTAAATCGAGCGACGATATGAAGATGTACGAAATGTTGTCATTGTGTCATTTTTTTTTAATAAATACATCCACCAACACGAATCCTCTTTATAATGTTCCGATAATGTGAAATACAATTTGAAAACCATTACATTTTGGATTAATTTGAAATCATTGCATCAAATGACCTTTTTTGTCCCTCAGAGGTGTCAGCTGGCAAGGACACAACATCTCTCAAAACATGAAAACTGACAAAGATGATAAAGGAAATGAAAACATAAAAGTACTGTACCTTTGTGTATGTTTCTTTCATGTGGCCTGCTTCAGCATGGTTTCATTTTAAGTTTTTTATCCCCAATTATATGAGGGGGTTTTCAAAAAGAAAATCGTGTCAACCGGAGTCAGCCAGAGAGACGTGCTGCTGCTTGTGGTTTTCTAAAGTGTTGAAGCAACACCTGTAGTCTCAGTAACCTGCTTTCACCAGAGAGTGCATGGTTAACAGAGCACCAGATAACTGCTATACATACTGTGTTTTTGATGTGGTTGCATCTACAAGTTGTTATGCAGCATAACTCAAATTGACAAACAACATTATCTGTAAACTATGACCAGTTTGGCTAGTAACTAGTAACTAGTAATACGCATATTATATAGTATAGTATAGTATATAGTAAACCAAGCACACACACAGAAAATAACAAGTTTATATCACCTGGAACTCAGATTTTATTTTTGATGAGGCATTCCGATTCAGAAAATCCATGTAATAAAAATCATTGATTTTGTAGATGCATTCTTATATTTTCTCAATTAAAAAACAAATTTAAATTGTTTCCATCCAATATCAGCTTCACAGATGACTTTCTTAAGAATAAAACTCCTTCAATAAACAATACATCTGACTTAATTCCCAATATTCATATAAAAAAGTTAATGAACTAGGCACCATCCTCTAATTTCAGCTATACATTGTGATTTATATCCTTGGACAGGCATCATTATTCATGTGGTGGAAAGCCCTGATGTCCAGTCGTAGCGTCTCCATCGCTACGCATCCTGAGGGATTCTGGGACGTCCTTCAGTGCACTCACACTCCTCTTTGTGATGCGGACCAGACGCCTGGCTCTGGTTCTGTCCCTTGGTCTGGCAGGCGGGGCAGCAGGCGGTGCGTCCGTCCTGTCTGCAGCCGGGACAGGACAGAACCAGCTGGCAGCAGAACCGGGTGGAGCAGAGCTGGTACCGGTCCCAGGGAGAGCCGCAGTACCTGCATTCTGCACAGAGATGTAATTAGGTTCCTTATTCTAAAACAAAGAGTTGCATTAGACAAGTGGTTCCCAACCAGGGGTACGGGGACCCCTAGGGGTACTTCAGGGGATCGCAGGTGCCTGGTCGTTCCGTTCTAAAAATAGCGCAAGTCATCGCCTGTTTGTCTTACAGAAATACAGAAAATAACAATGTTTCTTTTCAATATGACGGATAAAAGTGACTGTTCTGAGGGGAGGGGCCATGTCCTAAAAAAATACATTATTGGCTTCCTAAATAAGTAGTCTTAACATATTTTTTTACCTTACAACAAGTGTACATTTCAAGTTTAAATGCATTTGTATTAAATGTGATTTATATACGTGATTTTCATTTAGGAAAAGTTGGGTTAAACACGATAACATAGGGTTTAATACACGAAAAAAATGTAGGCGAATAATCACAGATGAGTGAGGGGTACTTATAGAATGGCGACCAGCTCAAGGGGTACACGAGACAAAAAAGGTTGGGAACCACTGGAACTGCATGTCAGTGTTTATTCATGTTTCTCGATACTCTTAATTATTTTTTTATTTCAGAAATAGCTATCCAAAACAAAAATAAAAAATGAAATGTTTTTATCATTTTAGTTTCAGTTTACTAGGAGGAGTAGTAGGGAGTTTACAAAGGCCTTAGTGTGTCAAACTCAAGGCCCGGGGGCCAAATCCGGCCCGCGACTTCATTTTATGTGGCCCCACAAGAGCTTGCAAAGAATATAATATGTTTATTATACGGTTACATGCTACTTTACAGAAGCACGTTGCCCATAAACGACATGTCCCACAATGCATCTCAAATTTGACTTTTTTTGTCCAAATATGCCTTTTTCTTAGAATTAGCTTTAAATAGATTTTTTTTTTCAAAATGTCCACTTCTCCTTTTTCCAAAATGTCACAATCAATGTTTTTCCAGAATGTGGCTTTTCTTTTAAAATCATATTGTGACATTCTTACTAGACTTCTGCTTTCAGACGTAGTTAATTATGAAGTTATTACCCTATCCGATAATAATCCAATGCAGAGGCAATAATGTAATATAATACATTATTTTATATATATTCAATATTTATAATGTCTTTTTATATAGTCTTAAAGTTACAACCGGCCCTTTGAGTGCAACCATAATGCTGATGTGGCCCGTGATGAAATTGAGTTTGACACCCCTGCCTTAGTGCTTTTCATGTTATTTGTGATGTTATTCGGTCTGTATTTAATCAATTAATTGGTGCTGATTCATGCACAATCTAACCTGAGATGATGTCTTTGTTGGAGGAGATGGGCGTAGCGTTCATCAAACACAAAAAGCTTTCCTCTGTAGAAACCCTCTGGGACACTGTTCCAGATATCTGTGGATTCCACCTTTCAGCTGGTACACCTCTTTACACACATCCTACAGGTAACAAAAAACAGATACATTAAACAAAAATTATAGAAGATTTAACAATACAAATATTTTCCTAAAATATTTATTCCGTGTTGGTATTATTCCTATCTATATAATGAGTTATTTCTGCAGAGGGATGTGTTCACAATGTACACATTTGTTCCTAAAACATGGCCAAACTGTTTTTTAATGGTTGTTGACAGAATTGTTCGTATTAATGGAGAGGACAAAAAATACCTACCTAAGAGTCCTTCAGTCAAATCCTTTGACGCTAATGTGTCAACAAACAAAACAAGAGTTTTGAACCTAAGCTTTCTGCTTCGGACATCTATGCAAATGAGCAAATATTGAAACACAAACATTTCAGAAAACTAACTATTGTATAAAATTGTCTTGATTTTAGTAATCAACTGGGGGAAGTTTCATGGTGATATCGCTTAGTATTTTTTACCCCTTTCACCTGTAGTGTCCTGCCTTGACTGTTAACTGAGTGTTGGTCAAAGGACAAGCAGACAATGACTCAGCAAGAGACTAAAAGCAAATGTGAGTTACTGCAGGACGAGGCATTCCTGTTAGCTATTTAAACAATACATTAAATAAAGTGTCCAATTGGCTTTCTTTAGTTTAAATCCAAGACGAGTCCTCTCACTTTGGAGCGGAGGTAGGCAGAGCCGCGCTCACAGCGGATCCCCCCGGTGCAGTACATCAACACCCTCTTGTTCCTCTGAACAGATCCAGGTTCTGGTCCACGTAGTCGGGGAAGTAGCTGAAACTTACGGATGCTCGGGGCGAGACACTGAGTAAACTGGCCCTGGAGGGAAAAACATTAACACATTCAAAAAGACAGTAAGTAAAACCTGGATTTCTTTAATTTATGATACTGTAGGTGTGAGGAAACTGTCATTCTCCATTTTAGTGAACATTTTTTAAGGATCTAGCAGGAATGTATCTTTCTCAATATCATTCAAATGTATAATTAGCCAAAAAATGTAATGTTTTGGGTGAAAAAACCCTTTTATAACTTACAATTTTAACTCTCATAAAATTGCGGCAGTCCAGGAGGATTGGTGTCATTGCTCTCGTCCGCTTAGCCAAGAGAGCCTCCACCTCTTTGTGAACACTCCTCCGGCTCCAGATGAACTCCTGAGAGGTGAGACAGATACATAACTCATCATCACAAAATCAGCTGTAACGAACAAAACTCCTACCACAATATAAGAGCTAAAATAACATGTAAAAATAGGAAAACTGTTATGTGTGACAACAGAA